CTTACTCCGCACTTAACCCTTTTGCCAGTCAGCCTCCTTGAGAGAATCATCATGGAGAGGGATAATCGAACCCACATCGCAATTGCAAGCACGAGAGAGAGAGAGAGAAGCGACTTATTGAAGGCCTAAAGAGAGCCCGTGTCCAAACCGCGCTGGCAAACAGCTGAAGGCCTTATTTATTGTTCTAAGAGGGCAAACGGCCCGAGTGTGTCCCCCGAACCCAGAACGACGAGGTAGGCGTACGAACGTATCACCGCCGTAAAATCTCTCTCGTTGTTATTTTTGATCCGCACTCAGGAGAGCTCGCGTACGCGCACAGGCAAACGTGCGAGTGGACCCTCCGCGGTTGTTTGAGAGAGGATCTCCTCCCCACGCGTACTTTTCGCCCCTCGTGAGGAACAAAAGGAAATCAGGCCCCGACCAAAGATATGCGTGCATGGAGACCTGCTTCTATTATATGATCAATGCATGGCACCATGCTTTCGATAAGATATGTGTGCATGGAGACATGCTTATGTTATATGAACTATACATGGAAACATGCTTTTGATAAGATGTGCGCACAGAGACATGGTTCTGCTATATGATCTATGCATGGTAACATGCTTTCGATAAGATATGTGTGCATGGAGACATGCTTCTGTTATATGATCTATACATGGTAACATGCTTTCCATAAGATATGTGTGCATAGAGACATGCTTCTGTTATATGATACATGCATGGTAACATACTTCTGATAAGATATGTGCGCATGGAGACATACTTTACTTATAATCTGATGAGATATTTATGCGGCAGCTGTGATTTTTCCTGCTCTCTATGATAGGATGAGAGTTAGGAGTGTGTGTGTTTGGGTAGTAGCACCCCCAAAACTTATATGAGGCACTACTCATTCGGACCCCTTTGGTAGTGTAGCGCCCCTTTGCCAAAAAGGCACATAAGAGGGTCATGTCTTGCAAGGGCAGTGCCTATCAATTTCTGAACCACATTGCAATGGGGTTGTGTATGTGTGTGAGGCACTACGCAACGGATTTACCCGTTGGTGGTGCTTCTCTCCTGGTTGTGATAGTAGAGGCTCTACGCATCAAGATTTGATTGGCCCGATGGGTGAGGCTTCTACTTCAAGAGTTAGTTGGTATCTCTTGATCTTGATTATGCTTGTTACATGCATGCCTAAATGTTTTGATCTGTTATGATGTTCATGCTTGAATTATTTGATCGACTTTTTATTACAATCATATCTGATTAGTTATTACTCCACCATGAAATAAATCATGCATAACACGTTTGTTCAAATATGAATTTGATACATGATTAGATTTTTTGTAAGACTTGCATAAAACTCTGATTATTGTCATGACAAAATATTTGTAAGCATGAAAGAATGGCACCTAGGTATTATATACTAGGCTTTATAGTTCATTCTGTTGATTTTTCCTCCACGTAGAGTGATAGTTAGCCGTGATTGGAGTGGCGTGTCTTGATGGTCGTGTTTGGGGTCCCTTACCCCCCTACTGTTGAAGCTCTATTTTGCAGGGAATATTTTGGTCGGCAGTCTGGCCATATAGTCCATTTTGATTTGGTAATGTCTTGATGTTGGGCCTTTTATGCCTTGGACCTATATGTACTATTTGGACTGTTGTATGTATTTTGGGGACTTGTTTGTCCAATAGACTATAGTTATGTATATTGTGTTTTATTTTTTGTTTCTTTTATGGCTGGCTTGATACCAAAAACTCCTCCTTTTTGAAAGTGTTGAGCGCACTCTAACCAAAGTAACACTCATAACCTGTGGTTGTGGCCCCACGCCCTACGGTCCTCCGACGGGCCCAGGCCTGGCCCTCTTGGATCCAATGGGGACGGCAAGGAGCGGGATCACGACAAGTAATTATGTGGGTTACCGCTCCCTGCTGTCTCCGCCGGACCCTAGAGGGCCAAGCCCGAGCTCTCTACGGCCTCTAAGGTTCGGTGGGGACGGCAAGGAGCGGGGTAGTGACAATATCATATGAACCGACCCTGACTAAAAGGTAACCCTCAACCCTCTCAGTACCTTCCATATACCAAAACACGTCATGACCAAATCAAGGTTCCATGACTCTTGGTCCCAGTGCGCTAAGATCCTAGGGTCATGTAGCTCTTATACTCCCACTCAAGTATAGAGCCATTGTGAATGAAGGAATTTAAGGCCTAAAAAGGACAATTCCAAAAGCGTGCCCCTTTCCTCCTAAGAAGGTGGCGTGCCACCTTTTTCCTTAAAAGGTGGCATGCCCACCGTTTAAATATTTTAAGCAATGTAAAATAATAAAAGAGGTTGTGCACCCCTTGTTCCCCAAATAATGGCGTGGCCCCCCTTTTGCTTAAATAAAAGCGGTGTGGTCAATTATGCTTTACAAAAATAGGGCGTGGTCCCTAGGGTGCATGGGGTGGCACATGTGGGGCTGGATCCTTGGGTCCTACATGTGTTTTTTTTAAGTTATGAAATTTCAGAAATACCCTTTTATAAAAATTACAACAGAAATAATTTAAAATTATGAAGGAATAGTTAAAAATCAAAGAAACATTTAGAATACAAAAATAAAATATACTAGGAATAGACTGGTACCAATGGGTCAAAATAAGCGAAAATAAAGCCACTCCACTCACCCCAAAAACCATGAGCCACTACTGTTCTCTTATCCAAACGAACAAAGTCCTATGACCCACAATCTCTTTGCAAGGGCTCATGATTGGCTTGTCAACATTGGATAATAAACAATGGGATCATGATCCTAGAATGTGGATTTCAATTTCTCCCATTTAAGAGCAAATCAAGCACTTGTCACCACAATGCAAAAGGGGCTCTCTCAATGTACATATACACGTGTCCGTCTAGAAAGGGTTACTTCCCATGCGGTTCTCATGTGTACATGTTGTGCAGAAGTTAGTTGAGGATTTGGCCCTTGCTCTCACAGGCCTGTAACTGCATACAAGGGACCACACAGTTCTCATGGCCTACAAACATGATCACTGAGAACCTCTCTGACCTCAACAAGGGATGACCCCTTGCAAACCTTTCTCGGTAATGCAACATGCCTAGGGCCAAAAGCTTTGGACATGACCACCCAACCCTTAGCCAACACACAGAGTCCCACTAAAGTGCATATTTCACTATACAGATAGTTTTTACAAGTTCACTGTGCCTTTAAAGGCCACAAAACCCTACATGACCTCTAAGACTTTCCATTTCCTCTGTGTGTGTGTGTGTGTGTGTGTGTGTGCACATTGCACCTTTATCTAGTATGGTCTTATCTACAAAGGCATTATAGAGAAGGGGAAGAGTGCAGGGAGTGAACTTGGTCCAAGTACTTACAGCCCCAAATACGCCACTGTTAATCTACACTTAATTTGGCTGGTTTGATTGGCGAGGCAGCCATGTTACCTCAATAGTTAAGAGGATAAGTAGAAAGCTGCAAAAGAATGTCAGGAGCGAGAGAGAAAAAGGTAGGGGAGGAGAGGTAGAGTGATAGAAGAGTAGGAAGGAGTCGAGGACCCAAGGTTGTCACTCGTATCATTGTCTCAATCAACATACAAGGAAATTTTCATGAAGACAAGATGAGAAACATGAATCAAATATTTAGAGGCATAGATATAAATCGATAAAATGATATAAAAAAACCAAAAAAAATATAAATAGGCTATAAAAAAAAATCCATAAATGGCTTGTCATCACAATACTCGCTCTTACACCAGTCACACCAAAAGAACACGCACTCTCTCTCTAACAATGAAAAGAGGGAGAAGAGAAAGAGAGAGACCACGATGCCACCACTGATCTACAACCCCATGGTTCTCCATATCTCTCTAAAATGACTTACCTTCCTTCCTCTTTCTTAATGACCTCTCAACCTTAGCCATTGCAACTCTACCAGCCAAAAACTGACTGATCTGAAAACATCATGTGCAAACCAAGCCATTGATCACCTTGGGTTCTCACACATCGACCAGAAATTGACAGCGTGTAATCATCCTAACCCAAAACTGGCTTGGTGGTTTTTCAGGCTAAACTCGTTGCAATTTCTATGTTTCTTCTCATCCTAAATTACCATGCTTTTATCCCAATCCCAATTTTTATCCCATCCAAATTTCAACAAACTCTCTGCAACATCTATGATCCACGATCACACAGATTTCAGTCAAGTTAAAGGAATATTGGTTATTAACGTCGGGGGCTCCCCATTGTTTCTTGGGAGGGGTCAATGTGAACCATGCTGACACTAGAGTAGAGAGAGGAGAGAGAAAGAGTGAGGAGAGAGGCTGCAGGGAAAATGTGGGAACTTACACGAGAGAGATTTGTGACTTGCGAGATTTAATGGACATCTAGAGTTGCTTTTATCTTTTAAAGTTTCTTTTAACTATTATATTTATAGTTTAAATTCATGTATCTTAATGTTTGACATATAGTTTTAACTTCTGAAAAATATCCATGCAAAAAAATTAATATTACTATACAAACAAAAAATGGAATTCTATATATGATAACAGGGGGGGTACAACAATCCGAGCAAGGATCAACTCCCAACACCACCACCCCATCCCGCCCGCCCCGCCTCCCAAAAAAAAAACCCAAATGCAGTGTGCCCAGGTGTCTGTGTGCCAACCTAGGCGGCTAGGACCCATGGCTGCCTTCTTGAACATTGCTAAAGAGGATTAGTTAACAAGAGCAAAGAACGCAGGAACAAGAATACAAGCAGAGGAAAGGATAAGCAAATTGTATACTTTAACCAAGTTTATGTTTGTTATATCCCACATAAAGGGCCATCAACCATCCACTATTGAAGATGGAAGGTGGAGATGAACACCCCTCGAACTTCACAATCAAAATTTCTTCATTAAATGGAACTGTGGTTCATTTCCACGATCTGTCAACAAGCGGGATGGTGGATGGCCCTTGTGTATAGTACATGCTATATATGGTAAATACTTTAATCCACCACTAAGATAAAGGTGAGATTTTGGACCGTGGTTTTTTTCATTTCCGTGAGGCAACGATTAAGATGATCAATCTCTGCAATTAACTTGGTCTCCTTAGATTGAAGAAGCTCCTCATGTGCAAACTGCATTTGCGTAATCCAATCTCCGAGCTCAGTGATAGTCCCTTCATAGACAGTCCTTTGAGACTGCATCAATGCTTCGTGAAGTTGCTCCTTTTCTAACATCTGGGTTCCATGCCGATCAATTTCCTCATAAAGTTGTTGAGCCTGTAAGAACAGTCAGGATTAGGTGGGAACAACATGCTACTGAATCAAGAGAGCTCTCTTTACAAACCAAAAAGATCCGGTAGGAATAAAAAGCTATCAATCTGAGAGACTACACTTTATGAAAAGCTAGTAGGCAGTTCATTTATAGCAATTCTTTTAGGTCTGCAAGTGTACTCTCTGAGAAGCCTTCTCATATAAAAATCAAGACACTGTGATGAGTCCAGGGATTACTCTTTACATATAGCCCATATGCAGTTTACATGATAAGTTTTGAGAGAGTTTTATGTTGGCTGCCTACCTAACACAACCCACTCCCTTTACCCGGGTATGGGACGGGTTAAGGGAAAGTTTATGGTCCTCACCCTTCTTAGACCAATATGGAGTTTATAGAAGAGAGCCAATAATTATTTCAGGCAATGAGTGTGGTGTATAATAAAAATCATGACACTCGAGCTACATTGAAATCTGATGGTGTTTTTCGTAGCAGTCCAAGGGGTTGGTTCACTTTTACATTGTAATTTCTCTTAGGCGAATGAGTTTATTGCATGGGAAGCCCTACTCAAAACATTATGACCTGCAATCAATTCAAGACAAAACTCTTAATATATAGCTAGTAGCCACATTATGCCCGAGATTGTATTTTAATTCTTTTAGCAAATAGAGTGTGATGTATAGAAAATCTGCCTATGAAACATTCAAGACATGCCAAGGATTCAAGCGAACTCAGCTCACATCAGAGAAGGTATTGTAATTATTTTACATAAGTGGGCATATTGCATGATAAATGTTTCTCTAAAACACTATGATATGCAATATTGATTCAAAAGACTACACTTCATATACAGCTAGAAGGCAGTTTATAATTTTATATCAGAATGGAAATTCTTTCAAGGTATATGACTGTCTTATACAAGAAGCCTTTCTGCAAAGTGCATAAAAAATTGTGACATGATATTCGGGGACTACTCTTTACATATAGCTAGTGGGGAGTTCACATCATAAAGTGTGCTGTAATTTCTTTGAGTGTAATGTATAAGACACCTTGACATTACAAATTTGTAAGAAAATTTATCTGCAATGTTCATCAACCATTCTCAAATTCATCTGCACTGTTCATCAACCACTCTCAAATTGTAAGAATGGCATGGAGCCTTAGCGGTAGCATTGCCGAGCCCCATGATGACTTCTCTGACTCAATTCTCACCAAAGGGTAGGGGCCCAAATCCCCACTGACTCACCACTTTTAATGAAAATTGACAACCCTCTCCCAATGGAGGGGAAACCTCCTGATCCTCGGGAGCTTCCTTCTCGTTTCTGCGATAGTAGTCTTGCTTATCGCTATGGTGGTGCTGGTCCCCTAGAGGCTCATCATCTCGGTAATGATGGGGATGGATCTGGCTATGATCCACTAATTTATGGTCACAAAAATTTTGGCGAAGATGGATCAGGGTCTAAACGATCTGCTCTTTTACATGTGGATAATATTGATAATCGAAGAACCTCTTTTATTGGTGGTGATCATCTTGAATCTGATCATGCTCTTTTGCATGCGGATGATTTTGACATCATTATTGGCGAAGATGGATCTGGGTCTAAAAACGCTGCTCACGCAATTTTAATGGTGGGTGATCATCTTGATGGGGATGGATATGGTTATGATCCATTGATTTCTGGTCACAATATTCATGGTGGAGATAAACCTAGATCTAACAGATCTGATCATACTCTTTTGCACGCGGATGATATTGGATCTCGTTTCATGAGATACGGAGATTGCAGAAAGGACGAAGAGGATATGTTCCTTGACCCTGCACCGCGGGAAGGAACTGGTATTAAGGGTGTTTCTGGTGATCTAGTTTCAAAGGTAGATTCTGGTGCTGCCTATCGTGTGGTATCTGGGTCTGGTTTTGCGAAGATGCCTGCGAAGGATACTAATATGAAGGACGATAATGGTGCTGCCTTTCGTGTGGTATCTGCCTATGGCAGTGATTCTGGTTATTCTCTGATGCCTGTGAAGGACAATATCTCTTTTTGCATTGATTTACAGAATGCTTCTTCTATGCATTCTAGTTCTTGCTTCAGTGTGTCTCCTGCTCGTAATGTTTTTATCAAAAAAGGATGGCTTACTTGCCAGCCATGGTAATGTGCAAGCTAAATTTATGGGTCACAATCTTTTGGGTTGTGTTTCTAGTTCAACAGAAGATAGTCGTGAACCTGCCCACATTGGTAACGTTTTGGGTGTTCGAAGTTCTGCCCCTTGTAATGATATTGATCATGTTATTGACTCTGGAGGGGTTGCCAATGATGCTGAGTACGATTAAGGTCTCAGTTATGTTATTTGTGATGGTTATGGGTTGTATGCACCTACGGCTGTGGGTGAGCGTGCTGATCAGTGAGCTCTTTCGCTTTGTGGGGATATTCCTAGGTCCATAAATTCTGGTCTTGATGGTACTGCTCAAAGTATCATGAACTAAGAGACCATGATTGTTCAAGATTCTGGCCTTCAAAACCTTCGTATGGGTCCTGGTCCAAGATCTACTGTTGTTGATCTTGATGGGGTCATCAGGAGTCCTGTAAGGGAGGCCTTTCCACCCTTGGTGGATGGTTCGAAGCATACCATAGATGGCAACATAGGAAGTTAACCTATTGCTGGTTCTGGCAAAGGCAAGGAGGTGGATGTTACTTCTTGGAAAAAAGATTTTGGTAGTAAGAACGACCAAGGATCTACTTCGTGTTCTCATGGTGAAGGTCTCGTAAGGGAGGAGTTTCCATCCTTGGTTTCAAAGAACAAGAATGGAAGCTTAGCTAACAGCTGTTGGGACTCGAGTAGGTCCTCTGACCTGTTATTTGGTGCCAAGAGTGTTCAAAATGGAGTGTTTACTTTGAGGAGATGGATACTTTACCTACTGAATTATTAGTGGTAAAAAATTGGCCAAAATTGAAAAGAAGTTGATGGACTCATGTCGGAGTAAGTGGGAAAACTGCTTATCGGGGTACTTCTTGGGCTGCCGACCCAATTGGAATTATATGAAAGAGATGTTGAAGAAAATGTGGAGGCTTGAGCGTGATGTTGAAGTATTCTTTGCTGATGGGGGCTTCTTGATTTTTCGATTCCATTCTAGGAAGGAGATGAAGGTTGCCCGTACGGGGGGGGCCATGGTTTATCAACAAAAAATGTTTGGTGCTTCAAGAATGGAATCCATCAGTTCAACCCTCTAGGCACACTCGCCAAACTATGTCAATTTGGATCAAATTGCCTAGGTTGCCAATGTTGTAATTAATCTAAAGTCAGATGAGCACAAATACCAAGATTACAAAAAAAGCAAGACCGCCCGGGCACCAGAATCCCTCCTTCCGGTGACCTTCCAAATTAGGAGATGGTACAAATGAAGACCAAAACAGACCAAACTTGATGCAAAACGACTGTGACAATCTCCTCTTTCATTTGCAAACAAAGTAAAGACTCTGAACATCACAGGTCGAATAGCATTGGCGATCGAAGTTCACGAATCAAGCCAGGCTTCCACCCGCGGAAAAGGCTGCCTCAGCACCACTAAAGCGCAACAAAATGCCCAGAATCAAACGAACATTGAAGATATAATGGCAAATCATCTGAACCATTGCTACAAGTTTCCGAAAAGCTTCGAAGATCTGGCAATGGCGTGAGGCCTCTGAGAGAGGGATGGTTTCGCCATTAGCACAAAAGGTTTTAGGGGCATTTTGGTCAGTGTACTTCATTTTGGGATTTTGTTCTAAATTCTTTTAAGGGAAAATTATAAAAACCCACCCAAAAAAAACTTTTCCATCATTTTACCCCCCTTCAAATGTATTATTACTAACTTTTTTTAAAGCTTACATTTTTTAACAAATAACCCCCCACCTACCCAAAGTTCTAAACCATGCCTATTTTGCCCCTTCCTCTCGTTTCTCTTCCCTTTACCGAAAGCTCACCTTTTCCCTTTTACTCTCACGTTCTCTCTTTACAATTCTCTCTTCACCACATTTTCTACTCTCGCTCTCTCTCTTCACCGACGACCAAGCACTGTCTTCACCGAAGAGCTCTCTTCACCGCCTTCTTCCAAGCAGGCACCATATTCCACCAGCTCTCTGTCTTCACTGTGTTGCTCATTTTTTCCCTGTGGTGCTCTCTTTGTCTTCACGATTTACCCACAAACAGGCTCCCTCAAACCAGGCGAATTTTTGGAGCTTGATTTTAGCCCTAAATCAGCCCACAGGTATGAAATCTGAGAAATAAAAAATTCAATGTGGAGCTCGATTTTAAGGCTTGAAACTGTTTTCTTTTGTATAAAAAATTGAATGTGGTATATTTAGGCCTTGAATGTTTTTTATAGTTGTAAATTCTTATTTGAATCTGTTTTCTTTTGAATAAAAAATTGAATGTGGTATATTTAGGGCATGAATGTTTTTTATAGTTGCAAATTTTTGTTTGAAACTGTTTTTTTTTGTATAAAAAATTGAATGTTGTATATGTAGGGCTTGAATGTTTTTGGTAGTCGTAAATTTTTGTTTGAAACTGTTTCTTTTGTATAAAAAATTTAATGTGGCATATTTACGGCTTGAATGTTATTTGTAGTTGTAAATTTTTGTTTGAAAATGTTTTCTTTCGTATTAAAAAATTAATTTAGGGCTAGGGCTTGAATGTTATTGATAGATGTAAATTTCTGTTTGAAATTTTTTTTTTTTTTTTTGTATTGAAAATTGAATGTGGTATATTTAGGGCTTGAATGTTATTGATGTAAATTTTTGTTTGAAACTATTTTTTTTTTATAAAAAATTGAATGTGGTATATTTAGGGCATGAATGTTATTGATATTTGTAAATTTTTGTTTGAAACTGTTTACTTTTGTATAAAAAATTGAATGTGGCATCTTTAGGGCTTGAATGTGCCATCTTAGCAAAGATGGGACTCATTGTGAAGTTAGCTGTACAAAAAATTGACTAGAGGAGAGAGCCTGTTACAGAGAGAAGATTGAGGTTAT